TGAACAACACATTTTCGTACACGATAAAAGCTCCTTGTGGTTTCTCGGTTTGGCCAATTTAAGCATCCATAAACAACGCAAAACACTGGCATTTGGAGTTTCTGCTAGTGATTCCTACGGAGAAAAATCACTTCCTGCCCTCCAGCTGCATTTCGCGCGTCATCAGTGACGTCATGTGCAAACAACCTATTAGTTTGTCCACAAGGTGGCGACGGTGTCCTTTTATTATTTTTCAGACAAAGTGCTGCACATTTGTTTGTGAAATTGAAATATGTCAAATAACTAAACTAAATAAAAATTTTAAAACAAATCCCAAATCAAATAAATTAATACAAATAAAATAAATCTCTTCATATAAACAAACTAAGTGCCTGTGCTTTTTTCATTTATAATTAGAGGCAACCACTGCATTTTAATCATAATCCAAACTAGGGCTGCACGATAAATCGAAATGGAATCGAAATTGCGATTCGACAGAAGCTGCGATGGTCATGCGTATCTTTCAGTGAAGCACGGTTCTGTGATCAGCAGTAAATGTCCATCCAAAGGCCAGAGGGCGCTCTCGCGCTGAAACTCCAAATACGCCTCATAGAAGAAACCCAGGAAATGCCTATAGCGGTAGCTGGATAAACAGAAGATTTAACTGCTTTTATTGATTCAACAAGACTAATAAACACACGATTATGACAATATATGGTTTCGGAGTTATTATTATTATTATTATATTATTACAGAACCGGCTTTACTAACAAAATGCGCATGACAATCGCATTCGATTAATCGTGCAGCCCTAATCCAAACAAAGAAGCAATTGTGTCATTTCAAAATTTGAAGCAAAAACAGAATGGTCTGACTTTAGCTTTGTGAAACTATACTACATAAAACATCTGAACGAAACAAAAACAGCAGATGGGCTGCATGAGAAGGCAAATTCACTCTCTGACAGTTACCGCTGTAAACAAAGCAGCGCTGCGCTAATAAACACTACCTTAATACACATTATACTGAGGCGAGATGAAAGAAAATACCATCTAAACTTTTCTGAAGAGAGAAATATAAACCCCACCCTCAACTGTACCGCGATTCATTTAAAGGGGTCATGAACTGCCTTTTTTATTTTGTACTGTTCTCTGAGGTCCACTTATAATGTTATCAAGATTTTTACATCAAAAACATCATAATTTAGAAATAATCTGCTATTTTCTGTCCTGCTTACTCACACTTGTGTGGTGCGACATTACATCAGATCCAATATAGTTGCACAGCATCGTCTTTTAGTTTCAGTCTTTCTGAAAATCCTGCATCGAATTGCGCCTTGTTTGTAAACGAATCTGTGGTAAAATTAAGTGAACCAAGGACCAAGTTCTTACTGATGGGGTCTGGATCTGCATTAAAAATAAAGTTCATCCACTCTTTCCTAATGTTGGGATCAGAAGGAAGGCAATGCAAAGACTGTTTTTCCACAGCTTGGCACTGAACAGTGTCTTGTCTTGTTTCTGCGTAGACCTGTTGTTTGCCTCTCTCGTTATTTACACTACGTGCATGAATCGGTGGGCGGGGCTAAACGGTGATGTACAGTGATGTAGAAGCAGGAGCTGATCTTCTTCTGCGGAGGCGGGGTTTAGCCACACTATTACGTCATAAAGTGTCACATCCCACAACCTGTCGTTTTGGAAGATTGCCTTCAATATAAGCTGTTTTTAGACTAATGAGAAATGTTTGAGTTCTGAAACGTACAGGATGTTTTTAGTACAATGACCTCTTATATGTCAAAAGATCAAGGGAATTTAGATTTCTCAGTTAATGACCCCTTTAACATCTCAACCGACTTGAATCGTCACATATCGATTTTCAACCGGCTCGGGGTGCATTGTTGCATCCCTAGTGTAAAGACACCCAAAAGCCACTTCAGAAGCGCTTCTGTGCTGCCTTTGCGGTGTAAATTTGGCATAATATTTAGAGCAGGGGTCTCCAGACTCGGTCCTGGAGGGCCGGTGTCCTGCAGGGTTTAGCTCCAGCCCTAATTAAACACACATGAACCAGTTAATTAAGGTCTTACTAGGTATACTATAAACTTCCAGGCAGGTGTGTTGAGGCAAGTTGGAGCAAAACTCTGCAGGACACCGGCCCTCCAGGACCGAGTTTGGAGACCCCTGATTTATAGTTGCAATGAAATTAATGTATAATGAATTAATGTACAAAGAGTCACAATGAAAGTGTAGCGACAGAACTTTGCTTCCATATTGTGACATAAAACCGAGTGTACCAAATTATCAAAAAAATAAGAAAAATGAAGGGCATGTAGAACAATTGTTATGCCATTTTGACTAATAATTGCAAGATCAAAATCTTAAACATACAAATGGACGAACTGTTCATTATTTAAGATATAACATGCATTTAGAATGCCTATATCAACCATTACCAAACATCGAGAGCTAGATGTCAAAAACGTGTTTCTGATGGCAGTCTGATGAAGACTTGAAGTATTTAGTATGCTGCACTATTTACACTAACACAACCACATGTGATTAAAATTCATCAACAGGCATTTAATTATCATGATATATGGAGAAAGTGACTAGGCCAGGAGAGCTTTAGTACACTGGATAGAAATACTGTTTTGAACAAGTGTTTATCTTTTAATAAGAGTTTACAAATGCATTAACTTCAGTGACTGGAAGTATGCTGATCATCGCTAATTCGGCCAATATGGTAACACTTTAGTTTAAGGACCAACTCTCACTATTAACTAGTTGCTTATTTGCATGCATATTAATTCCATATTGGCTGCTTATTAGTATATATTAATGCCTTATTCTGCATGACCATATTTTAGATCCCTTAATCCTACTCCAGACATAAACTTTACTGTACTAACTGTATTAATAAGCAGCTAGGAGTTTACTGAGGCAAAAGTTAATAGTGGGAATTGGTCCCCAAACTAAAGTGTGAGCCGAAATTTTATGGCGTGTTATACGAAAAGACAAGTTTAAATAGTATGACAATAAAAAACTATTACAAATCTCAAATCCAACGTTGGATGTACAAACTATCTGATCATTAAGCAATGCCCTAAACTTACCACGGTAACAGTTCCGCTAATATACCAAAATACCAAGTACAGGTGCATCTCAATAAATTAGAATGTCGTGGAAAAGTTCATTTATTTCAGTAATTCAACTCAAATTGTGAAACTCGTGTATTAAATAAATTCAATGCACACAGACTGAAGTAGTTTAAGTCTTTGGTTCTTTTAATTGTGATGATTTTGGCTCACATTTAACAAAAACCAATAAAATAAAACCAATAAAAAAAACATTTTTAGTGAATAGTTGGCCTTCTGGAAAGTATGTTCATTTACTGTACATGTACTCAATACTTGGTAGGGGCTCCATTTGCTTTAATTACTGCCTCAATTCAGCGTGGCATGGAGGTGATCAGTTTGTGGCACTGCTGAGGTGGTATGGAAGCCCAGGTTTCTTTGACAGTGGCCTTCAGCTCATCTGCATATTTTGGTCTCTTGTTTCTCATTTTCCACTTGACAATACCCCATAGATTCTCTACGGGGTTCAGGTCTGGTGAGTTTGCTGGCCAGTCAAGCACACCAACACCATGGTCATTTAACCAACTTTTGATGCTTTTGGCAGTGTGGGCAGGTGCCAAATCCTGCTGGAAAATGAAATCAGCATCTTCAAAAAGCTGGTCAGCAGAAGGAAGCATGAAGTGCTCCAAAATTTATTGGTAAACGGGTGCAGTGACGTTGGTTTTCAAAAAAACACAATGGACCAACACCAGCAGATGACATTGCACCCCAAATCATCACAGACTCTGGAAACTTAACACTGGACTTCAAGCAACGTGGGCTATGAGCTTCTCCACCCTTCCTCCAGACTCTAAGACCTTGGTTTCCAAATGAAATACAAAACTTGCTCTCATCTGAAAAGAGGACTTTGGACCACTGGGCAACAGTCCAGTTCTTCTTCTCCTTAGCCCAGGTAAGACGCCTCTGACGTTGTCTGTGGTTCAGGAGTGGCTTAACAAGAGGAATACGACAACTGTAGCCAAATTCCTTGACACATCTGTGTGTGGTGGCTCTTGATGCCTTGACCCCAGCCTCAGTCCATTCCTTGTGAAGTTCACTCAAATTCTTGAATCGATTTTGCTTGACAATCCTCATAAGGCTGCGGTTCTCTCAGTTGGTTGTGCATCTTTTTCTTCCACACTTTTTCCTTCCACTCAACTTTCTGTTAACATGCTTGGATACAGCACTCTGTGAACAGCCAGCTTCTTTGGCAATGAATGTTTGTGGCTTACCCTCCTTGTGAAGGGTGTCAATGATTGTCTTCTGGACAACTGTCAGATCAGCAGTCTTCCCCATGATTGTGTAGCCTAGTGAACCAAACTGAGAGACCATTTTGAAGGCTCAGGAAACCGTTGCAGGTGTTTTGAGTTGATTAGCTGATTGGCATGTCACCATATTCTAATTTGTTGAGATAGTGAATTGGTGGGGTTTTGTTAAATGTGAGCCAAAATCATCACAATTAAAAGAACCAAAGACTTAAACTACTTCAGTCTGTGTGCATTGAATTTATTTAATACACGAGTTTCACAATTTGAGTTGAATTACTGAAATAAATGAACTTTTCCACGACATTCTAATTTATTGAGATGCACCTGTACAATTGGAAAGTTGTTATTGGCGAGCAGAGTCTGGGAAAACATTTGGGGAAAAGCCTGTTTGAAATAGACCCACTTTGATTTATTGTTGAATAACAACAACTGAATTAAATGTGGTATTTGCAGAAACTGGTCATTTTCGTAAAAGCTGACAAGCCAACGATACATTCGTGTCAAATATCAGTCGTCAGTGTGAAATTAGGTACACGACCGTCTTTATACCGGATTAACCTTCTGGCCTCGTTCTGGCAACACGGTGGTTAATGACACACACACACACACACAGAGAGAGAGAGAGAGAGAGAGAGGCAAACACGTACCTTGCGTATCTTTTACTCTCCGTCCCACCTTCTTCAGCGGCACCGGTGTAACCTGAGTGATGTGTTTCCTTCGCGTGCTTTTTCTCATGACAGCCCTCCACCAGCCACAAAATACGGCTTCCTTTCCCTTCCGCAGATACGTGGGCTGAACGCTGGCCGGTTTCTCCGCTCTACATATCAATACCGCCACTGTTTGTCTGTAGCAGTGCACAGAGGACAGGCGAGAGTCAAACGACAGCGATGCGCCACTGCAGAGTGAACGCGAGGCGACCGGATCATCGCAAGCGTGACTGTGGCATGCAGCGCTGCACAGACTGACAGACCTCTGCCTTGACCAACTGTAATGTCATGTATTATTCATAACCATGGGAGGGACCTACCGTCCGAGAGACTCGGTATCATGCAAGAAGTGGCGCAAGGTCAACGGCAATCAAAAGATCATTTCAGAGGCACTTACTGAGAGTTAGCCTATACTGTTAAACTCACCCAGTCCAACTCAAATCACTGTCTGTTCAGTATCTGTCAGTGTTATCTCATCTACAGCTATACATGATTTGGTCATGGGTAACAACATTGTTCATGTCATCCATCAAGTAAAATAGCCAAAACGTATCACCAAGACTATACAGTAAAAAAATGAATATTGTGAAATATTACTGCAAATGAAAACGGCTGTATTCTGTTTTAATGTGTTAAAATGTCATTTATTCCTGTGATGCAAAGCTGTATTTTCAGCATCATTACTCCAGTCTTCAGTGTCACATGATCCTTCAGAAATCATTCTAATATGCTGATTTTTCTGCTCTGTTGAAAGCAGTAAAACTTTACTGCTTCATATTCATATGGAAAATGTAATAAAAAAATTCAGGATGCTGTGATGAATAGAAAGTTCAAAACAACAGCATTTATTTAAAATATAAATCTATGTAACATTATATTGATCAATTGAATGCATCCTTGCTGAATAAGCTATTAATTTCTGTGAGAAAATAAATAGATAGAGCTTTTTAGTTGGATGTTTGTCTAAACATTTTTTAAATGTTACTATTTTTACATTTTTTAAATGCTACTCTTGAATAGTTACTTGTTTCAAATATTCAGAGAACAGTATAGCTTACTGTTCAATCTAAATAAAGACAAAAACACACACAAAACTGTCATATGACACAAAATAACTTCATGCATATTGGTTATGGCATACTGACTTTGGTTTGGTGGACAAAACTATTTCCAAATAATAACATTTTAAAATTGCTTCACTGCCTATCCTTTAAAAATAATAGTAAACGATTATGCTAAAAACTATTTATGCCAACATTTACTCAACAGTTACTCAACCTAGACATTTTTTGGCTTTAAGCTTGACTTTTAAATCAGAAACTGAAATCGTTCATCACAGAAAAGCAGTACTCAAGTCATATTTTGTATAAACTATTCAACATTCACACTGCTGACCCTCATACATTTTTCTGAATTCTGTCATTCACAGTATGCATTAATAACTCTGTCACTGTCTGAGTTCGCCTTCACTCTAACCTCTCTATTCCTGCTACTTCAGATTCCTTCAGAGTCCAGGAGGACAGAAGTCTAAATGACATCTGCTGCCACAGAAAATACATTCACGACTTAGTGAAGATTATGAAATGCATTATTCATTCCGTCCATCTGTTCTTTCAGTTCCCCTTGTGGCCCAACTCATTACACCTCTCTCATTAACTACTAGTTTAATTTTCACCCTTGTTGTCTAGGGATTCTAAATGAAATCCTCACATTGCTGGGAGCAAATAAGGTGATCAGCTGTTTGTCACTGACCATGAGTCTCTGCATGTTTAGAATAATGCTATCAGACAGGCTACTGAACACGGACAGATTCTCTAACATAATTAACAAATGACTAATGTAATAATAGCATTTCAAACAAGAAATGCTATAGGGGTTCAAGAATATATTTAGTGACCCCCAAAATATTCTGACTCTTAAAGGGTTAATTCACCCAAAAATGAAAATTAGTCTGTGTTTTACTCACCCTCGAGGCATCCTAGGTGTATGTGACTTTCTTCTTTCAGTCGAATCCAGTCGGAGTTATATTAAAAATTGTCCTGGCTATTCCAAGCTGTATCATTGCAGTCAGCGGGTGTTGCAGTTGAGCAGTCCACGAGACGTCAAATAAAGTGCGCGCATCCATAATAAAACGTGCCACAGACGGCTCCGAGGGGTGAATAAAGGCCTCCTCTAGCGAATCCATGCGTTTTTGTAAGAAAAATATCCATATTTCAAATGTAATAAACACTTTTCTCTCACTTCCGGTGTCTGTCATACGGGGAAGCCGTTCCGGCGGATGACGCAGCACGTGTGCGCAGCGCGAGCGCCTCTGAGATATGCTAGTCGCGCGAGTTTGTTTATAGGAGCAAAGGAAGCAAAGTTTCCTGCATGGATTCACTACAGGAGGCCTTTATTCACCCCCCGGAGCCGTCTGTGGCACGTTTTATTATGAATGCGTGTGCTTTATTTGACGACTCGTGGACTGCTCAACTGCAACACCCGCTGACTGCAATGATAGAGCTTGGAATAGCCAGGACAATTTTTAATATAACTCCGACTGGATTCGTCTGAAAGAAGAAAGTCACATACACCTAGGATGCCTCGAGGGTGAGTAAAACACAAGCTAATTTTCATTTTTGGGTGAACTAACCCTTTAAATCTCACTTATCCTCTTAACTGTCATGCCTAAGGTTGGTCTCTTTTAATAGAAGGCAATGTAAAAAGTTATAGAAGTTTAAAGAAAATGTACTGTACTAAAAAATATATATATATTTTACGAAATATTTTGGAATCTAAAATTGCTACAAAATCAAAGTCATAAGTCTAACTAATGTATATGTTCCAAATTTGAAGTTGATATCACAAAAATTGAGGTGCCTGAGTAAATTGAGGTTAAGGCGAATTTATACAATTCTGTCAAAATGATTACAAAATTGATTATCATAAAACAGCCAACTTGAGACTTTCCAACAATGTGTTTTGTCAAGATTAGAAAAAGAAAAAGTTTTGATTGTAAAAAATTATAGTAAATTTTGAGAATATGAGAAAATTTTGTAATATGAAACTTGACACCCTCCACTAGGGGGAGGAGCCTAATAAAAAGATTTAAAGTACCGTTTCCATGGTAATGCAATGGCAGTTTTCAAAACAAATTCCACAGGATGAATTCTGAGAATTTTGATCTAAACAATTTCTTGTTTTATAAATGTAACCCTAACAAACTTCCTTTTGTGGAATGTTTTGCTTGAAGGCTAAGAAAAAGAATAAAACGAGATGCAAAGATATTCACATATTCTCTTAGAAAAACATTTTGAGGTTATTATTTAAATGCATATTAACTTATGATCTGACTAATAAAAAAATCTAATTCATGTAAAAATACAAAAAAGTAAGATATTTATGAAAATTATTATAAAGAATTTCTGAATAAAGTTTAAACCCCTTCAAATCCCTGTCTTTATAAGAACAGCAAACCATTCTAAGATCAGAATAAAATGCTTTATCACTATTAGGTATTCAGGAGGAGAAATGAACAACACAGCCTTCATATTCAGACGGTAATTGTCATCTGGCCTTTTCTGCACTTTTCAAAAACATATATTTTTATCTCCAGAGGAAGATACTAGACTCTAACAAAGAATCTACTCTTTTAGGTATTCAGGAGGAGAAATGAACAACACAGCCTTCATATTCAGACGGTAATTGTCATCTGGCCTTTTCTGCACTTTTCAAAAACATATATTTTTTATCTCCAGAGGAAGATACTAGACTCTAACAAAGAATCTACTCTGCACAGAACCTATTGTCACATCAAGTGTTTATTAAAATGGCACTATAATTCCAAGCATAATGCAAATGAAAAAAAAGTAAAACACAAAAGTCCAAATAACTTGTAACATTTGCATACGTTTTAGTCATTGTGTTGTGAACAGGCAGGTCAGTTCATCTTTTTGGGAACTTAAATCTAAAATATTTGCTAATTATTGCTAATTATTATTATCATGCACGTATCTTTTATAAAATCACAGAGAAATGAATCGTAGTGAAATGATTCACTTATAGCTACATTTAACCCTAAACTATATATATTTTTTAAAAACATTATTTATTTTTGTTTAGTTTAACTACACATACTAAAACGAATAAATACAAATAATAATAACAATTCAGAAATATTAAAAGACAAAAACAATTTTTTTAACTGAATTACAAAATTTTTACTGAAGTGAAAACTGAAAATACAAACTATAACACTTAAAAAATGCTGTGTTGTTTCAACATAACTTTGGGTCAAATATGGACAAAAAATTTTAATTAAATTTTTAATCCAAAAGTTGGGTTAGTCCATATTTGACCCAAAGACATGTTGAAACAACCCAGCATTTTTTTTTTTTTTTAGAGTAAACAGTACATCAGTGACACTAAAATAACACTATCCATAGACACTACACAGGAATATGCAGCTCCTTAGTGAGGTTTTATTTATTTTTATTTTTTTGGATGACAGCAAGCATGAGTGACTTCAGAAGAGCTCTGCCAAAGATACAGAGATCCACTGGCCCACAAACCTCTTCTTAATAAACTCAACACTGAGTCAAGCAGGCTCTCAGTGGAGCGCTGCCTCTCAAACCCTTCAGAAAACATCCCACCCTCATTTTCTAAAGAGCATGTTAGAAAAAAAAATCCATTTGAAAAACAGACATCTCACACAAGAAAGGATCCTTATATCCTTATATATTAAAGCCAATATCTGAGTTCCATCAAAGTTACATAAAGACACAAAGCACCACAAAGAGCTACTTTTTCTTTCTTTTAAGCAAAAGACGTTGATCATAATAACAGCTGTAAAACTATAAATTTTCTCCCATTTTGGTAGAAAAAAAACAGTATAAGGGAAAAAAGTATACTGTAAAACGAATTGTTTATATTCTGGATTAATAAAAAAATTTACAAAAAAATATATTGAGTTCCATGAAACAGTTACATAAAGGGACAACCCTCTTACTTAAATCTAATTTATTAAAATAAATTTAAATAAAAACAAGTAACAAAACAAAAATTGGGTAGAAAAAAAAATGAATAGAAGAAAAATAATACATAATACATTTTAAATTATGTACTAAAAATATTTAATAAATTATTATTAAATAATTCAATTAAGCACCGCAAGAG